AAAAATCTTGCAACACATATAGTGTCTGTATTTTATTCCTAATAAGAATACAAAAAATAATTACGAACTTCTATAAAAATATTCAAGGTGTAACTTCATGTGAGTTCTATATGATAAGCTAGGTCGCTGAAAAATCACAAAATACTGCACATTCGAGTGTAGGAAAGTTTGGAATGTGTGACCAAACCCAAATTAATAAATTGCAATCAAAATTCCAAAAACTCAAAGGGATACTATCATTTACTTACAATGATTTTTTTCAACATCACTGGGAACCATATTATTACATTGCCGTGACTTTCGATGCAATGCCTAATGGATGGTACAGTTATATAACGGATATAAAAAAGTAGACCCATACTAACCGATATTGATATTGCCGAGTTGGAACACGTGTCTCCAATTACAACCAGTAAGGAAAGTAGTAAAGTCGGGCGGGGCCGACTATATGATACCCTTCTCCACTATGGGTATATTAAACAGGACTATTAACATGAAATTGTATGAACTAAAATATGTGATATTTATCTAAATGTGAATCGGCTTAGATCAATCCATAAACATATCATTCGTTTGCTACAATGGGACAGAAGCATGTAAATCGACTTCAAACAAATATCAAGAGGACATCCGTTGGGCTATGTCTGTACTTCTCGAAAACGCAACTACGTTATTCTATGCTAAATTTTGTACATTGTGCAAAATTGCATGTCAATCTGACAAACATGAGGAATTTGATGCATCATTTACTTAAAATCGGACAAAAATATATATGGAAGCTATATACAAATATGAACAGATTTCAATGAAACTTGTCACAGGTTAGGTTATACAAATTTCAATCGTTCTCATCAGCCAAATATTGGTTCCTTGGTGCGTTAACTACTTAAAATCAATGGAATCTCAACCGATCTTCATAAAATTTGGCACACATAATTCTGGACTAAATTCAGTACTATGCTATGCAATATAAGAACTTTAGTAAATTATTTACATTAAATTGAACGAAAATATATATATATATATATATATATAGATCTGAACCGATTTTCACGAAACTCAGCACACATCTTTCCAGACTCAACTAAGTACGCTATGGCAAATTTCGTGCAAATCGATAGGTATATAGGGACATTGGTGCACTTTTTACATTAAATCGGACGAAAATATATATGAGAGAGACTTTAGTAAACTATTTACTAAAATCGGGCGAAACTATATGGGAGCTATATCTAAGTCTATACCGATGTTCACGAAACTTTGCAGACATCACTCTAGGCTCAATTCAGTACGTTATGCTAAATTTCGTGCAAATCGAAAGATATATAGGGACTTTGGTGCACCATTTACATGAAATCGGACGAAACTATATATGGGAGCTATATCTAAATCTGGGCCGATTTTCAAGAAATTTGGCAGACATCACTCTAGGTCCAATTCAGTACGTTATACCGAATTTCGTGCAAATCGAAAGGTATATAGGGACTTTGGTGCACCATTTACATTAAATCGGACGAAAATATATATGGGAGCTATATCTAAATCTGAACCGATTTTTCCCAATTTCAATAGGGTTCGTCCTTGGGTCAAACAAATGAGCCGTGCCAAATTTCATCCAATTCGGATTATAAATGCGACCTGTACTTTGATCCCAAAAATACATGGACAGACAGACAGACGGACGGACGGACATGCATAAATCGACTTTGAAAGTCATTCTATGCATATTCTCAAAAGGAACCATGGGTCTATCTCGTTTCCTTTTGGCTGTTAGAAACATATGCTCAAAGACATAATACCCTGTACCACAGTGTGGAGAAGGGTATAAAAACCAGCACCATATCTTTATTTTTGAAAAAGTTATGCGGCATTTATTAACCTTGCAATTTTAGTTGCTTTAGTTTTGGCCACCAGTGTATATCTACCGATTTCTACAAAAACATAATACTCGTTCTTCTAGCTTCAATTTAGTACACGGGGTTAATGGAAACTCTATATAGGAGTTATATCTGTCCCGACTGTGACCAATTTCAATAGGGTTTGTCCTTGGGCAAAAAAAAGAGCTATGCTAAATTTAATCCAGTTCGGATCAGAAACGCGACCTGTACTATGTTTACAATTTAACACAATTCGACTCAGAATGTGATCCTGCGCATATACTCAAATGTAATTATGGGTCTATATCGTTTCCTTTTGGAAATTACAAACATATGCCCGAAGTCATAATATCCTGTACCATAGTGAGAACTCAAAATACCAAATTACTAATTCAGGTGAAAACCGTGCTGAAAATCCTTAAAATACGGAAATTTTTGGGGTAGCGTTATCCACGTAGATATGAGTTACAAGCGGAAAGCTATGTTTATATACCCTCCGTTCTATTAAACCCAGGAGAGGAGCAGTATAGTCGGACGGAGCCGACCATATGATACCCTACAAAACTGCTCCTGAACTCTAACTTTATGCGGGTTTATATTTCGGCCATACAATTCAAAAAGTCTTGGCTCGTTTGATACGATACATTTTAACCGTTTATTATTAAAAATCGAAATTGGTCTGGACATTTATATTGAGGCTATGTTAAAACATAGTCCTATATCGAAACCAGTGAGCGGAACTGTATAGTCGGACGGGGCCGATCATATGATACTTCCACGAAAATCTAACTTTCTGTGATACTACATTCTGAGATTGGGCAATATTTCGCGATATTTGCACCCTCTTGATCGACTAGAGGCCAACAAATATTAATAATATTCAGTATATCTCTTCTAATTACTTGCCCCGATTCCTTTCACCAGGTGTTGTGTTGTGTGTTCGGCCTTCAATTGTGGTATATAGATCAACTCGAAAAAAAACACAAAAAATTAAGTTTTCGTTCCACTTCATTCAATATTATTATTTGATCATCACCGAAGATTATAGGCGTTGTCCTTGACAATACCTGAATCCTCATGGAAAATTTCAAAGCGATTAGCGTTATATTTCCGCCCTCCAATGTGTTAATGGGTTACTAAATAATATGTAAATCCGTAAGCACCTGTAAATACTTAAGAGTAAATCCCACATCCGAGTGCATGCTATAATATAATTGGTATCAATTTAAAGTCAACCACTCCTCTTGGATATACTATCAACTTCTCGGTTCTATGTCCTTTAGCGGTATATATGAACGCTATAGAATGCAAAATTTTGTAATCTTTCTCACAAAGTCAAGGTCCATTTGACCCGATAAATATTGACCGATCTTTATCAAAACAGACATCCTTTGACCCGATCCCATTCTCCATGTAAAAACTCGCGATGTTTGGGCCATAATTGCGGCCTCTGGAGCCGCAATCATTGCCAAAAATTACCAGTAAGGAAAGTAGTAAAGTCGGACTGGGCCGACTATATGATACCCTTCACCACTTTTGGGTATATTCTACATATGTATCATAACATATGCAGAATATATCTGAACCGATTTCAGGGAAACTTGCCAGAGACCAATTTATATTACACCATTACGTTGTGTAAATCGGCCTAGCTATGGATATTTTCACGAAGCTTAGCAACATCATTCTAGACTTAATTCAGTACCCTATACCAAAATTCGTGCAAATCGAAAGATATATAGGGACTTTGCTGCATCAATTACATAAAATCGGACGAAAATATATATGAGAGCTATATCTAAATCTGAACCAATTTTCACGAAACTTAGCACACGTCATTCTAGCCTTAATTAAGTACGCTATGACAAATTTCGTGAAAATCGAATGATTTTCAGAGATTTTGGTGCACCAATTACCTTAAATGGGATGCAAATATATATGGGAGCTATATCTAAATGTGAACCGATTGTCACGAAACTTTGCACACATTATTATAGTATCAATTCAGTACGATATGTCAAATTTCGTGCAAATCAAAGGATATATAGAGACTTTGGTGCACCATTTACATAAAATCGGACGAAAATATATATGGGAGCTATATCTAAATCTGAACCAATTTTCAAGAAATTTTACACACATCGTTCTAGACTTGATTCAGTACGCTATGCCAAATTTTGTGCAAATCGAAACATATATAGGTACTTTGGTGCACAATTTACATTAAATCGGACGAAAATATATATGGGAGCTATATATATATTTGCACCGATTTTTCCCAATTTCAATAGGGTTCGTCCTTGGGCCAAATAAGTCACCTATGCCACATTTCATCCAAATCGGATCATAAATGCTACCTGTACTTTGTTCACAAAAATACAATCGACTTAAAAAGTGATTCTATGCATATTCTCAATAGGAACCCTGTGTCTATCTCGTTTCCTTTTGCCTGTTACAAACATATGCACAAAGACATAATACCCTGTACAACAGTGTGGTGAAAGGTATAAAATACGTAGTACTAGATCAGCACTACCGTATATTAATTGTAAGACTTAATAATGTCATAATGCATAGATTCCTATAAATATTTACGTATAACTACCACATCCGAGTACATACATCAGCATAATTGGCACCAATTTAAAGTCCAACACCTCCTCTTGGATATATTATAAACTTCTCCGGTCGATGTTCTTCCGGAGTAAATATATGTGCCATAGAATGAATTTTGTCATTGTCATAAAAATTGATCCATGCTTATGTGTTTAAGAATTTCTATTGGAATACACATTCGCTATGTGCTCACTTTTTGGCATCACTCGCTGCAGTATTTTATAGATCCGATGACGGCGATTACAGACAGTTCGGTCCGGTCGAACTTTAAGTTATTTTATTATTTCTCAACTTGAAATTCCAGCTCTATTTACGGTATTTATATGCTAATTAGCTAGTTAGTGATACAACATTCGTTATTTTGTAGAACATACTTATGTATAAATTTACGGTGAAAACACATTCTACTTAAATTATTTTAAAATAAATTATATTTACAATTGTTTTTTTTATTACACAAATACTGATCAGTCCATTTGTAATATCCATTATTTTTCAATTTACCAATTATCCTATTAATGACATAATATTATTTGATAATTTTGGAAAATCTGAAAAATGATCCAACAAAGAGCGTGGACAACCCCGAAAAACTCGATCACAATTTGCTCCACTGCGTCCCATATGTTCGGCATAGAAATATGCATTGTCGGCATGTGTGGACAAATCATCCTTTGAAGAGGTGGGCCTATTCACAAATAAATATTAATAATTTAATCATATATCGCGAATAACTTCCATTTACAACTTACGTCAATAGAATATGTAACAATTCACCAAATAGTCCATTATAAACATGAAAAGGTTTCTCCGCAGCCTCACAAATACTCTTCAGCATGCATTCACGGCCAGACAAACCCATCCTAGAATTAACAGAAAAAACAACAACATTAGAATCGTTGTGGACAAATCACAAACTCCAGACTTAATTCATTTGTTATTCATTGAATTTGAACTTGGGTGAAATTGCTGTTTCACTCACCTCGTAGCTAAACCCTCCAGTCCTTTGTACACCGTCCATCGATAGCTGGCGCGTATGTGTTTGCGTTGCTTTACAAAATCTGGCTGATTTGTGTTGCTGCTGTTGTTCGTTGTGGACAATGCCTTCTCGTCGACAATGAATTTTTCAAATTTCGTCGGACCATTCAGATTTCTAGCGGTGATGGGCAAACGGCTTTTAGTTCGCAATTGATCAACGGTTTCGGGTAGGAAATATTCAGCCTTGAGTACATATCCCGAGGTCATGGCCTCGAAACGTAAATTATCCAATGGTATACCAATACCAACAATCCACTGAAAATAAAGAAAATAACAACAAATCGAATTTAATTGTGGGTTTATAAAAATTTAATTTGAAATAAAAATAATAATTTAGCAGACAATGTCCATCAAATAAATTCAGTGAAATGCTGGGTGGCACGCATACAAAATGTAGCATTCCTTTATGTAAATGTGGTAGTCCGAGTAAAATACTATGTGGATTTATCACTTTTAAACGAATTGAGATTTTTCACCAACATTGTGTGCAGACTTCTCGTAGTTATCCATAGTATAGATGTATTACGTTAATCGAAGTTTTCTTCATAGATTCTACAAATACATACATTCATAGATTCTACAAATACAAACATTATGTCGAAGAGGAGCTATATTAGTTCACGTTTTGACATATCCCTCATAACGATACTATAATTGTCCAACCAATACATTACAAATATTTAAATTCGTCCAATTTCATGGCAATGGTCCTAAAATCACCTGTTCTATCGAGAGGCTACTGTAAAGTAAGAATCTTAGGAACATCTGTTGTATGTACTCAAAGTGGTAGTATAACATATAGTCGGCCCGTCCGACTTTTGTTGATATCTTCATTGCAAATAAAGTTCAGTATCCCTATGATGGAGGGTTTCAAAAGATCAGCCCAAACTTATCTATTATTATACCATCCACCAGAGTATCGAAGTAATCATTTTCGACCCTATGTAAAATTCTTGAAATCTCCAGATGACAACCAGTAAAGACAGTTCAAAAGTAGGTCGAGTCCGAATATATGATACACTTCACCACTTTAAGTACATACAAGATAAGCTCATATGTATAATATCCTGTAGATAGAACAGACATCTTTGGAGGACCATTAAAATGGAATCGGACGAAATTACAACACACATACCATGAAAAATATCTATTTCAATCGGGCAGACATGGGTTCTTTGGTGTACCATTTGCATGAAAGGTTATTCTAGGTTCAATTTGGTATTCGTCTCAATAGGACAAATTTTTAGTTATTTGGCATACAATTTAGATGAAATCGGATGATAATATATACGGAAGCTAAAAACATATGGAAGCGAAAAAACATAGCCTCCTTGGTGCACCATTTACCTAAAATCAGACGAAAATATATATGGGACCTATATCTAAATATGAAAATTATATATTGTCGATGCGTTATTTGCTTGGGAGTTAAAGTCGGGAACATTCCTGCCATAGTCTTATGGGCAGAACTCGCCCACCCAGGCACATCAGAAGAGATCTTAATGATCCAGAGAGAGAGAGAGAGATCCAAATATATAAACAAGAACCTCAAGATCAAGATGCCTAACAACCAGGCCTGAATGGTATTCACACAGACGCCGTCGTTCAGGCATTAGAGCAATACCGTGTGAATATCACGGAAGCTGCCTCGACAAACACGACTAGTCTTACTTCAACTAACTTCAGGATGGTGCAACCGCCTCAATTCATATTGGGCAAAAATTGATGGATTGATACCTAACTCGTGTCCTGCATAAACCACACAGCACGTTGCACCCCTTCAACTGTCCAGCTAAGCTGACTCAGCAATCGCCGAATTCACTATGGACACAACCCATCCAAGTTGCAACATTATGAGTCGATTTGTGGATGTCCGTCAGTCCGCTTGTGCATATTAAATTGTAAACAAAGTACATGTCACATTTATGATCCGATTTGAATGAAAATTGCTACAGCTCATATATTTGGTCCAAGGACGAACACTATTGAAATTGGGAAAAATCGATTCAGATTTAGCTCCCATATATATTTTCGTCCGATTTCATGTAAATGGTGCACCAAAGTCCCTATATATCTTTTGATTTTCACCAAATTTGGCATTGCGAACTGAATTGAGTCTATAATGATGTGTGCTGAGTTTCGTGAAAATCGGTCCAGATATATATATTGCTCCCATATATATTTTTGTCCAATTTAATAGAAATGGTGCTGCACCAAAGTCCCTATACATTTACATTTGCACGGAATTTGACACAGCGTACTTAATTGTGTCTATAATGATGTGTGCTAACTTTCGTGAAAATCGGTTCAGATTTAGATATAGTTCCCATATATATTTTCGTCTGTTTTAATAGAAATGGTACACCACAGTTCCTATATATCTTTCGATTTGCACGAAATTTGACATAGCGTACCGAATTGTGTTTAAAATTGTGTGTGCTAAGTTTCGTGAAAAATCAGTTCAGATTTAGATACAGCTCCCATATATATTTTCGTCCGATTTAATTTGTCCAATTTTCTGTAAATAATGCACGAAATCAATCGATTTGCACGAAATTTCGCATAGCGTCCGATTTTATGTAAATGGTGCACAATGATCCACATTTTGGCCGATTGGCACACAATTTTGTAGAATGTACTGAAGTTAGTATAGCCTTAAATGTGTCAAGTTTTATTGAAATCGGTTAGACGGACGTTTACATATATAGTGTTGCTAACACTAAGTCCTAATATTTCGGTACAGGTTGTGAAAGAGCTCTAATATAAAAGTATTTTGACTGAAATTTGGAATTCAGGCTTTTCGGAGGGTGAAATATTTTGATATTTGCCAGGGTCTGCATATTCTAATAGAGTTCAGTACTGTCATTATCGCACTAGAAAGCAATTGCAAAATTTAGCTCAGCAGAATCTTAAAGGCTAGATGTAGTGGTACGGACTAAATTGTTAATTTAAATACTATTTATACACATGTTGTCAGGGTATTATAGCTTTCTGCTAGACCCTCCTTTAAGTATACCGATCGTTATATCTCGACTAGCTGAGTCGATCTAGAAATGTCTGTCCGTCCGTCTGTCCTTCTGTACATTATAATTTGTAAACACGATACAGGCTACAGTTATGAACCAATCTTCACGAAATTTTGCATGTAGGATGGGTTCTGGCCAATGAAGGCCCCTATTATTTTTGGTAAAGATCGGTTAATATTTAGGGGATAAAAGGGACCAAATACTTAATTTTTGCCGGGTTTTCTGGTCGCTCCAGAGACCGCAATTATCGCCCGTACATCGCGAAATTATACATGGAAAAGGGGATCGGGCCAAAGATTAAGCATGCTTGTTTTGATAAAGATTGGTCAGTATTTAGCGGGCCAAATGGACCCTGACTTTTGTGTGAAAAATTACAAAATTTGTATTCTATGGCGTATATATTTACTTCTGAAGGACATAGACCCAAGAAGTTGATATTATATCCAAGAGGAGTGGTTGACCTTTAAATTAATACCAATCTTATTGTTGTATGTTCCCGGATGTGATAGTTACACCTAAATATTTACAGGTATCTCCGTATTCGTATATTATTTAGTAACCCATTATCACTCTAGAGAGTTGAACTATACCGCTGATCGCTTTGAAATGTTCCATGAGGTTCCAGTTATGGTCATGGAAATTGATGTGGTCCATATTTCACTCTTCGATGCACAAGACGAAATGTCTATGTATAACATTAATTTTTTCTATTTTCTTATCCAGATTTTTTATCTGACATTGTAAATTGGGAGAAAAACACTAAATAACCACAGTTCATATCCAACACATTATCTGAAATCACATAATGAATATTCCTTATTCAAGGTATGACCTTCGAGTTTTTTTCTTTAGTGAAATATAGGAGGAGCAACTTCGTAATTGTTGACTCGACACTTTTACATTTATTTTAAACGTTATTGATTATTATGTATATCATTTCACATTTCTACACTTTCAATATTAGAGTTTCTTCACTTGGAAAATAAATAAATCCAATTCACCTGTATTCTTGTGGGTGCCGTCGGTGGGAACAATATTGGTAATTTCGCTTTGGCCAGAGTACAAAGAAATATTAATATAAATAAAAATGAGTGGCCCGGCATTAAGTTTCTTACAATTCCTCTGAACATGGTTTTAAACTTATTTTTTTTTATATTTAAAATATATATTATTTCCGAATTTAGTAATATTTATAAATCCCGAATTTGTATGATTTTTTTTTTTGTACTTTTCCGACGTTAAAAATATTTCGGTTTTTCGTCAACCAAAAAAAAAAACACAACTTATCGAGCACGTTACACGTATCGTGGTAAACTGATCTGGGTGTTCTACTTTCGTTAGCATCAGACCAAAGTTTTGATTTATTTTCTTTCGTTTATTTTCAAGATTTTAGCATTACTATATGAAATTACAATGGTGCGGTCAACCCGACATCGAAATGCAGTGAAAAGAACGAACAAACAAAAAGAAATTCTCTACCGAAGAAGATACTGTATGGACACGTAAATTGACTTGTAATTAACACTTGGGTCTTAAAGCTAACACAATACTCATGAAATGACTGAATCCAAAACATACCAACTAATACCAGACTAGATCATACTTTTAGGTGTTTTGTCTTTATGGGATTTTCATTTCACTTTTTTTAGCAAGCATCAGATCAGAGTTGTGGAGAAAGAATTCCAAGAGAATGAAATATAAATGGCTACCTTGTGATATATGTATGTATATCATGTGTCATTTCCATTTTTAGAAATCATATTGCAGTCTTTGAAATATTAAATCAGACGAAGTGGTTACCAAGAGCTAAATATTTAGAAAGAAATCTAGAATTTAATTTTATTACATCCATAAACGATTAGAGACAATTTTGGATGTGTATCTTTGATTTCTACTGGATTTGATTTGAACTAAATTATATTAATAAAGAAAATATATAAATAGTCCCGGAGAAAGTAACAGTTCTAATTTTAGCAGCAATAAATATCATAAGAAATAATTAAAAAATCGCACGAATATATCTCGTCAGTTAAGTTTGTATGTATTTATAAAAAATGTTGTGCTTTACGACGTCAGTTTCTATATCAGTAAGAAAACATTAAATTCGGACGACGGCCGACTATAAAATACCCTACAACACTTTATGTACATAAAGACTCCTAAAATTCTTATGAGTCGTCCACTATTGGTGGACTATTGACATGAAATTTGACGAAATGAAATATGTGTTTCATATCTACATCAGCAACGTACACAGGCCCCCCCCTACGTACGTCCCTGATCTACATATGAACCGACTTCAATTAATTCATACGTGTAATTGCAAGATTTCATGTCAATCGGACATTAGGATTTTGGTACACCATTAATATAAAATCGGACCAAATTATATATGAACACTATATGTAACTCTCTGTTAATCATCTCAATCCGTCAAACCTTGGCAGGTGTTAAGTTCGACCGGGTCGAACTTTGGATACTCTTCACCATAGGTATACTTAAAGGTACTTGTAATGAACCCCAAAACGTGGACCGATATTGATAACGCATGGTAGAGTGGAACGTGTGTATAAAATCCTCAAACTACTGCAATTTAAAGTGCAAAGTTATATGAGGCTATGCCTAAAGGGGGACCAATATTGATTACATAGCAAGGAATTAGTGAATATTTGGGGTAATTATTATATGCGGGGCTTGTCTAATCAATACTTTCCTTAAGGAGGCATCATCATATGGAGGCAGTGTTGCCAATTTAGCACTTTTAGTGCTAGATTTAGCACTTTTCAAACTCGTTTAGCACCAAAAAAAAGTGATCTAGCACCTAGCACCTTTTTTAGCACTTTTATTTTTTTTCTGAAATTAGTTAAAATTTTGGGTATCATTTTGATTTCAAATTGACTCATTAAATTGTCCCTATGTTTCACGCTATGAATTCGATTTTCCAATGTTAAAAAGTGTCAGTTCATTTATAAACAATTAAAAGGTCTTCAAGTTCGGCTGGTCAGAACGTTTTAGACCCTTCACCAAGTGAAGTGTGTTAATATTTTCCCAAAAAATTGTCGGGTACTTCATATGGTTGATACAGCATCGCCTGCTAGTAGGTTGTTTAATTTGTAAAATGAACCAGTAAGGAAAGTAGTAAAGTCGGACGGGGTCGGCTTTATGATACCCATGACCACTTTGGGTGTATCCAACAGGAAATTGGATGAACTAAATATAGAGCCGATTTAGATCATCATTATTGAGTCGGTTTTTTTTTAAATGGGGCAAATGATATAAATCAATTTAAAGCAAATTTCAAACGGATATCTCTTGATTAATTGGAGCTCAATTAATATGTAGTCGGTCGAAAATATATATGGGCTATGTCTGCAAATTGTGCAAAATTTCGTATCAATCTGACAAAAATTAGGAGTTTGGTGCACCATTTGCTTTAAATAGAGCAAAAATATATATGACAGCTATATCCAAATCCGAATCGATTTCAACGTTCAAGGTTATACTAACTTCAGTAAGTTTTGAGCATATCGGCCATATCATACAGGACGTTGCTCAAACTTTTATGCCAACAGGCCATATATATATATATATCAAAATCAGAACCGATCCACACGTTAGGTTATACTAACTTCAGTAGGTTGTGCAAAATTTTGTGCCAATCGGCCATATTTTGGACCTGTGGTGGACCATTAACTGAAAATCGGACGAAACTATATATTGAAGCTATATCTACATCTGAACCGATTTTTCCCAATTTCAATAGGGTTCGTCCTTGGGCCAAATAAGTGACCTATGCCAAATTTCATCCAATTTTATTCATAAATGCGACCTGTACTTTGCTTACAATTTAACATGGACAGACAGACGGACGGACATGCATAAATCGACTTAAAAAGTTATTCTATGCATATTCTCAAAAGGAACCATGTGTCTATCTCGTTTTCTTTTGCCTGTTACAAACATATGCACAAATACATAATATCCTGTACCACAGTGTGGTGAAGGGTGTAAAAACCAGATTAAGTGGGCCTTTGTATGAGAGTGATGTGGAAATCATGAATCTAAATCGGAAACTTTCTGGAAAGGATTTTTTTATTCACCATGAATCCGGAATGCCAAATTATAGTCACTTCAGAGAATCGATAATGGGTCGCGTTCCACTTTTTAATGGGGTTATGTCAAAAGATGGACCTAAATCGAACAAGTAAAAAAGCATTAAGTTCGGCCGGGCCGAACTTTGGATACCCTCCACCATAGAAATACTGACAAATTTTTGAAATGAAAACATAGGGAACATACATATAACGCCAATTCTTCCAATCGATTGTTGTAAACCAAATAGAAAATTCAACAATTTCAATGGGGGTTTTCCTAAAATCTCAAAACTCTAAAATGTTGGCATAATGGGACATTTTAGGTTTCACCCCTAAAAGGGGGTGAATATTAATAATTTTTGGTAGGGAGATTTGTTACCATATACGACTACAAAATACCAAATTACAGCGAATTCGGTTGAAAAACGCGCTCAAGAACACCAAAATACTGAAAATTTGGGGGTACCCTTATATGGGAGCTATGCCTAAACGTGGACTGCTATAGCCCAGCTTCGACCTGACTGCAGACAAAAGACGACTCTATGAAAAATGTTGGCGATCTATCTCAATTCGTTTAGACGCTAGAGTGATTACAACAGACAGACGGACGGACGTACATGCTTAGATCGTCATAGAATTTTACTTTATAGTGTCGGAAATGATTATTTAGATGCGTTACAAACCACAGTTGTCCCAATTCAAATTTTTTTGGCCAAAATTATTTAATACAACATAATGTATACTTTTCGTTTATAAATAGATTAATATTTATTATAATAATATTAATATTTTTTTGCAATTCCGGTAAAACGCGTTTCTGCAATCATAAGGTACAATATAGTACTATTTATTATTAGTACTATTATTTTCCAGGAAAAATGCAAGTGCTTCTACTGCTGAAAGTTTAACTGGATCACTTGATGTAGTGCACAACTTCCTTATCTTTGAAAGTCTAGTGGGGCTTTCCGTCGTTTTTTTGAGAATATGAGTCAAATCTTTGTTTCCCGTTTTCTTGGCGGAAACGCAAGCGGCTTTAAGTAGTAAAGTAGTATCGTGATCTTTTGAGATGAAAAGTTCGGCTGCCTCCCTTCTCTTACTTCGGTCAGACATTTCTGAAAATGCGACACGGGGGCGCCCCGCTTTTGAGCACCTTGGTTTTTGACATTCTGTTTTATATTTTTTGAAATATATTCCAGAAGCAAACCATTGTGCATTTTTTTGTTCGAAATCCTTAAAATATCTTCTACTTTCTTCCCATTTTCTCTTCAAAGTGAGACAAAAAATTCGTACTCCTTTTTCTAAATATTTTAAATACACCTTTGACGGATTGTTTTCACTACAGTTTTGTAGTACATAGTTTAAGATGTTTTTTTGTTTCTTAGCAATTGCGCCATGTTGCTTTCAAATTTTAAACAAATCTTCGTTTCTGAAGAAGAGGTCGTCTAAAAAATACAAAATTAGAGTGTAGAACCACAATTGTCAAAGTATACAGACAAGCAAAATTTGATTAAAACGATATAACTAACTAAAATCAGGCGGAACAGTTATTTCAAAAAGTGGTCCGTTTTTCAAAATAATTAGTATGCACTATTGAAACCCCAATTTCACAAATCTCTTCGTTCATTCTTTAAATATTATAAAATTACTTACCTTCAGCTTCCCGAATCATAATATTTTTCGTTTCACTTTTATCACAACACAACAACAAAAAAAATGTATATTTTACAGTAAACAGTCTGATTTATTTTTATACAAAAAAGTGACAACTTTGACACTGCGCCTACTAAACGCAATTAACGCTTTTTAGCAAAACCAATTATTTTCAAAAAAATAATGTTGGCCAAAAATCGGGGCAACTGTGCGACGTTTTTATACTAAAATTGATTACTAGGTTAATCAAATGTCCCAAAATATCAATTGAAATGTATTTTCGCCAAAAACAGCGAAAATCAATTAAATAGTGAGGCGCCGTTGTGGGAGGTCTTAACCAAAATATTTGGTACAAACAG